TTCAATCACAACATTGGGGGCAGGGGGTAGAACAGGAAGATTAGGATCTTGGGCCTGTTGCAAATCTGTAACTTGCATTGTCAAGTCATGGTACTTGCCAGCCATCTCAGCCAACTCATCCCGCACCTTCTTGATTTCTTCAAAAAGTTGGGCAATTTCGCCGGTATGGTCTTCAAGACTTCAAGAGACCGAACTCGGACTAAGGCCCCAAATATAGAGTCTATCCATTGCTCTTTGTTTTGTGCAGGAACAATTTCCTAAATAGACACATGTGCAACAAGCATAGTCTGCTTTCTGTTCTCTGCATCCTCCTTCTCCCAGACCAAAGCATTGTGCAAGGAAAATGAACTATAGCGAAATGGCATAATCTAGATTGCACAATCACATTGAAAGCCTGAAAGTCCCACACTGTCCAGAAAGCACAATTGCACCAATATTACACCAATGGAGAACCGAGACACTGAATCCGAGTGTCAATAAGACCAGGTATGTGCCCTCACATCATCATCCTCATCTCTCACTTTCTCTCCCTTGTCTTTCACCCATGTCTTCTCCCTCATGCACGAAGACCACCACTACCCCTTGCTGTATACCTAAGCCCGGCCGGCTATGGAAGCCGAGCTATGGTGCTGCCCACAGCAACGCCCTTCTTACATGACCACACATGTGCGGACAGCTTGCACAGCGCAGCGCACAACACTCAAGCGCAGGCTCAAGCAGCACTGCACGAATAGCAAGTGCCCGGATACTTGGCCAGGCAGCGGGCACTTTCCTATCTGGAACGGGCCTGGCCTGATGCGCTGCCAGGCTATGTTGGGCCTGCGCCCATAAGCTTCTGGTAGGCCCCGGGTAGCTGGGTCTCTGCTGCTACTGCTCTGGGCGCTGTTCGGTTACGCCTCCCAACTGCCTGTCGTGTATACTGCTGCAGACGCAGCCTAGGGCCTGCTTCCAAAAAAGGCCTAGAAGGCCGAAACAAAGTGTTGCTGACTGTGGCCTGGGTTCCTTAACCAACTGACGCGATGCAACTGCCTGAACCCCAGATGCGAAATTGACAACAATGGGTCTCTCGTGATTTTTCTCAGGCCCGCCTTCACTTAGGGTGGGCACATATGCAGAATGGGGCCCTTAGGCCTGCCGAGGAGCCGAATCCTCGCATTCCCTTCTCCTTTACTGTTATAGTCCCCTGAGAAGTCCTTTACTGTTCTGGGTGTGTGGGCAGGCGAGCAGGGCCCTTAGTCCTTTACTGCGTGGAAACTACACAGTTCCCTTCCAGACGATTGATCGCCACTTAGGGCGGGCACTTCGGGCGGGCACATATGCAGAATGGGGCCCTTAGGCCTGTTGAGGAGCCAAATCTGCATATGTGAGAAGCCCTTAGTCCTGGCGAGGAGCCAAATCTGCATATGTGAGAGCCCTTAGGCCTGTCGAAGAGCCAAATCTGCATATCTGAGAGCCCTTAGGCCTGTCGAGGACCCAAATATGAAGATTTGGCTCCTCGGCGGGCCTAAGGGCTCTCGCATATGCAGATTTCGCTCCTCACATATGTTACATGCCCAGTTGCGCAATATACATAATAACCGAGGATCCGCAATGTGATAAAAATGACTGAATGGACAATGCAGTGCAAGTGGAATCTCAACAAGCAATGTGCATTCCGACACATACAAAATGGTGTTTTATAGCACAGTGGACGATTTAGATACAAGTCCTGACCTGACCGGGACAAACCTCTTTCACGTAGTACCAGATAGCGAAGCAGAATGCTAGAATACTAAGGACTAGCAAACTCGATGTTTCAACGCAGACCAAACATTCATCATGCTCATCACAAGGTGTGATAGGGCCTGGCGCTATACACAGGAAGAAGGCGCCAGGTCGCGACATACACAGACGGAGAGGAGGGGATCCGACGAAGAAGAGGAAGGGAGGAAATGGGAAAGTCGTCAACACAAAGTCTCGTTACAAGTCCCAAATAATCCCTCTTCAAAATGTCTGAAGTCCAATGTCGAGTCTGGATCCAAATGTCACCAAGATCTCTCTCTCTCTCTCTCTCTCTCTCTCTCTCTCTCGCGCGCGCGCGCGCGCAGTCTGCTGATGCAGTGAAGTCAGATAGCGAGAGGGTGAGAAGGAGATGGTGGACTGAGAAGAGGAAGAAGAAGAATTCTCTCTCGCTCATATGCCAGGTACTAACTTGTGAAGATGGCATTGTGCTGCAGGTACCTCGCAGACGAAGCTGGAGTAACGGCGCTGCAGGTAAGTCCCTCTCGCCTCCACCCAATCCCTCTCTCTCTAGTACTACTCTAGCTGCTATGGCGCCCGACTCTGAAGACTACAGCTAACGCTACTTGCGCCCAGCGCTGGAGACTATTGCTAACGCTGCTACTACTACTGCAGTGCTCCTCCAGAGTGCTGCTGCCGAATCCTGAAGACTACCTCCTGCCTCCTGAACTGCATGTGAAGTGCCTGGGAAGCACCTAGGAACTACCTGCCGACCTGCAGGGCGGGCCAGTCCTATATAGTGTTGGCCCGTCCAAGAGGTTGCTCTTGCCAATGCCTCAACGTGCCAGACACTGGGGTTGAAGCTCAAACAAAGGTTGTCTTGAAAATAGGCCAGAAATGGCCTGAGCTAAAACCCTGGTCTGATGCCTGAGTTTCAGGGCAGATCGGTCTTATGAGGGCCCGAAAATGGCCCTCAGTTTCAGGCTGAAAACACTTAGGGTCGGAAAGGCCCTGATTTAGCCTCAAACGACACAAGGCCTGTAGGCCCTTGTTTTCAGGCTTTGAAGCTGAAATGACACAGGGCCTATAGGCCCTTGTTTTCGGGCTTTTGGCCTGAAAATGTTACGGGCCTGGAAATGGCCCATGCAGCCAGTTACAGGCGCAGCATGTAACACCCCCCCCTCCTTATAAAGTGAAGCCGGGTCGAGGGCTCAGCTGACGATCTGAAGGTGGAACTTGGACGCGGGTGCGACGTGGAGCCGAAGATACCGGCTTGCCTTGCATTTTGCGTTCGTAGCGTGCGAGAACATCAGGAGCTGTTGCTTGGAGTTCTGCACAGGTCAACCAACGGTCAGCTTCGTGAGTGCAGTACGCAAAATGTAGATAGTACTCGGTTGGCCTATTGTCGTAGCGTCGCTGGGAGATGATGTCGCCGACCTCCTAAAAACCGTCCATAGAGGGTGGGTCTTCCGAACGTCGCCCGGGAAAATTGTCATGTTCCGCAGGCGTGTAAAGAACCAACTTGGAGCAATGAAAGGCTGCGTAGACGGGCAAGTGGGCGGGCACCTGAATAGTGAAGGAAGGTCCCTCGGGTCCATCCCCAGCGGGTGCCACGATCGACCAGGGCCCCATCCATTTCGGGAGGAGCTTGCGAGAGATATCTTGTTCAAGGCTTAATTCCACGACGGAAACCCAAAAGAGATCACCGGCGCGGAATGGGCAAGGAAGACGCTTGTGATTGGCCTGTTGGCTCATGCGTTGCTGCGTCTTGGCCATCTGGTCGCGTGCCTTGACAAGTAGCTCTTGCATCCGACGCAATAAAAGAAGCTGGTCGTCGCTCTCGGCCATTCGTGGAATGATTGTTTCCAACGTCGAAGTGACTGGTGAGCTGTGCTCAAACTAGAAGGGCGGCATCCCGATAGCCGGGTGGATGGACGAGTTGTAGACCAACTCGACATCCGGCAGCTGCTCATCCCAATCCTTCGGGTCGGGGCAGATGAGAGTGCGAAGGAAAACCTGTGTGGTTTGATGCGCTCTCTCTGTTTGGCCATCGGTTTGGGGGTGGCGACCCGAACTTGGCTTGAGAGATGAGCCCCATCATTTGATGAGCGCCAACCAAAAGTCGGACATGAACCGAGTGTCGCGGTCGCAAACGATCTCCTTGGGGTAACCCGTGGTTCAAATCCAACTGGCATAAAGAACCTCGGCCAACTCCGGTGCCTTGGCATGATAGCGGCAAGGCAAAAACATGGCGAACTTGGTGAGTCGGTCGACCACCGTGAGAATCTCATCCACGCCGGTCTTGTGCTTGGGGAACGGGCCGGTAATGTCTATGGCAATCGCTTCCCTTCGCCGCAAGGGGACCGGTAATGGTCGCAACTCGCCGTATGGACGATGCTTGCGGGATTTGCAGCGTCGACAAACCTCGCATGACTCGCAATAGCGTGTGACGTCGCCGAGAAGGTCGGGCCACCAAAATCGCTCACGGAGTCGGCGAATCGTACGATTGACTCCAAAGTGTCCGGTGGCGGGAGCATCGCGGAACTCGCCAAGAAGCCGTGTACGCAAGTGAGGGTCACTCGGTACGCAAAGAAGGTCCTTCCCCCGTGTGTGGACAAGCAAGTACCCCTCTTGGATCCGGTAGTGAGAAGGCGCCGAATTAGGAGAGGAGCAATTCGCATACTTGTCGCGAAACTTGGGGTCGGCTTGGTAGCCGCGGATGAAGCTGTCCCGCCGGTCGTTGTCGATCTCGAAGGTTGAATAGACCGCGGTACAATGATCCGGACGCCGTGAAAGAGCATCCGCAAAACGGTTCGACTTCCCCAGAATGTGATTGGGAAAGAAGTCGAACTGGTCGATGAAAGTCATCCATCGAGCGATGGTGTTGTTGACGGTGTCTTGGGTCATGTAAAAGACCAACGGATTGTTGTTCATTACTCATTGGAATTGGCTTCGACCAAGGAGGAAGTGTTGCCACCGCTTGAGCGTGTGGACGAAGACAAGGAACTCCTTCTTGCGTGCATCGTCCATGGAGTGCACGACAGGCACTTTCTTGCTGAAATACTCGACCGGATGCCAGTCCACGCCATCGTGTTGCTCGAGGACGGAACCAATGTCATAGCCAGACGCATCCGTAGTTACGCGCGTAGGCAAAAGCGGGTCGTATATGCGCAAGACCTCCGCAGATAATAGCACGGCATTGAGAGCCAAAAATAATTCTCACGCATCCTCTCCAAAGTCAAACGGCCGATCCTCGCATTGAAGCTTCGTCAAGTGGGCTGCGATCTTCGAGTAGCCTTTGATAAAACGCTGGTAGTAGCCGGCGAGGCCAAGGAACGAACGGACATCCGTGACGTTTCGTGGCTACGAGCACTCTTGAATGGCTTGAATCTTGTCCGATAGCGGATTGATGCCCTCCGGTGTGACAAAATGGCCCAAGTATTCCAACTCTTGCCGGACAAATTCGCACTTGTCGCGGTTGGCCTTGTACTTGGCGCGGCAGAGCATCTCCAACACTCGTCGAAGGTGCTCAAGATGATCCTCCAATGATTGGCTATAGACGAGAATACCGTCTAGGTAGACCAGCACGAACCAGTCCAACATGGCACAGAACTCGTTGGTCATTGCCGCTTGAAAGGTCGTCGGCGCGTTGGTGAGGGCAAAAGGCATGACCACCCACTCAAAATGCCCATACTGCGTCTTCAACGCGGATTTGTAACAATCGTTCGGTCGGATTGAGATTTGATGATATCCCGACTTCAAATCCAACTTAGAAAAATACTTTGCGCCGAACAATCGCTCAAGAAGATCGTCGATGCGAGGAAGTGGCCTTGCATTCTTGACGGTTTGCGCGTTGAGCTTGCGGTAGTCGATGCACAATCGTAGATCTTTGTTCTTCTTCCATACGAAGAGAACTGGCGCTCCGTATGGGGAGCTACTAGGGCAAATCCAACCCTTGTCCAACAAATCATCGAGTTGCGCGCGGAGGACCGTAAGCTCCTCCTCGCTCATGCGATAAATGCAACCTTTCGGCGGCACGACACCGGCCTCAACAATGATCTCGTGAGAGATTGGCCGATCCGGCACCGCACCGGTAGGTGACTCGAAGATGTTGGCGAACTCGTCGAGCAACTGCAGCACACGGGGGTCCAAAGACAAGTCCGTGGGTGAAGAGTCGGCTACCGCGACGGTCTGTAGGAAACATAGGCCAATTTTGTCGGGCTGCTCGTAAGCACAAGTAACCCGGAATGACTTGGCCGTCACCACTTGGCAGTGAATCGAAGGGTGCGGAAGAGGAATAGTACATGACACTTTGGCGCCGAATGCGCCGCGAACGGTAAGAGTCCGTCGGTGGAAGTTGACCGTGTGATCCGCAATTGCAAGCCAGGGCATTCCTAAAATAATGTCGAAGTCCGTGTCCAAAATGTCAAATGTCACCGGTTCGCATGCATGAGGTGTGAAATACACCGGTACGGCCTCGATGTAGCGGTCGATAAGTTGCTGCGTCCTTTTGTCTGCCAAGTCGATCGTCGTCAGGTTTGCCTTCCTTCAAACTTGTGCGCCAAGGCCATCCTTTTGCATAAAGACTTGACTCATAAAATTGCGAGACGCGCCGCTATCCAGCAAAGCGTTGCAGGACGCTTGCCCAACTTGATGCGGTGCGTTGTTGTCGTTGTACCGCTGATTGCGAAACTCGCGGGCCACCTTGGTAACATACGCAAGGATGTCCCCCGCCACGACTTCGTCATCCGTCGGCGAAGTTGGTGGTGCATAGAAGGATAAGCACGTGTGAAGATGAGCGCATAGTGTTGCGCATTGCGGTCCCGGCAAACGGCCCGTGGTCAGGAGAGGAAGCCATGTGAAATCCTCGGACGTGAGCGGGTCCAATACCTCTACGTTGAACTCGCGCGCCGAATCCCGTGAAGAACCACTTGAAGACGATAAGTCACCGCTCCCGGATGGAGCAGATGCCACACACACGTCTTGTCCTTGAGCTTCAGTACCCAACGTAGGAACGAGCCGGGCAGCATAGTCCTCAAAGGAATAAAGAAGAGGAGGACTATCGACTTCCACATGTGCCTCAGAACGATGGGCGGTCACCCGTGAAGCGACCGGTTCCGAAGGTAGTGAGAGTGTCGTTGAGTCACTCCCGGCGGTGCTCAGTTTTTTGATTTGCCCTTGCCTTTCGACTGGCAGGCCATTGTGTTGTGTTGATCGCTGTTACAACACAGACAATAGCGGAATCTCGTGCGTGCCTCGTACGCCGATTCGGAGAGACTGTAATGGGACCATGGGGCTGGAGCTGCTGTGCCGGGCCCGGGGCTAGATGCGGTGTTTGTCTTCGTCTTGCCTCGTCCTCGGCCTTTGCCGGGGCGGCCACCTTCCCGAGCGGCTGTGAGTCTGTCCCCTTCATTGGCAGACATGACCTCGCTCGTTTGGTTGCTTGGCTTTGCCGCCGCGACCACGGCCACTTTCGGCCGATGTTGATCTCTGCTCAGGCCTGGCGTAGACGAACGCTGGAGATTCTTGGCCTCCTTGTTCGTGACATGTGCGGCCTTGTCAAACAGTTCTGCCGGTGTCGTAAGGGTGTCCTCGACGTGAATCAAGGCATTGCCCAACGCCGGACACGACCTCGAGATGAAGTAGTGTTTAATGGCTTTGAAGACCATTTGGATGTCTGGGACGGATGTCAAGCGTTGGTACTCGGCAATCCAGTCGACACTTGGCAGCGTGCCTTGTTCGAAGACCATCAGCTTGTCCATTGCCTTGATCTCCGGCGGCTCTACTTGGAACCGCTTATGCCACGCCGCCTTCAGATCATCCCAGCTGATCTTGGTATGCAAGTCGGCAGCTACCATGCCGTACTTGGACAAGAGATTGTCCAACCATGCTTGGCATGCGCCCCCTGACTGGGAGTACAAATACGTGTGGTGCTTATGTTCTTTGACGTAGTGTAGCTGCAGTGTGAGCTCGAACTTGCGGAACCATGAAATCGGATTTGCCTTCGTCGAGTCGCAGAAGATCTCCTGCCCGTCGAACTTTGGAGCTGTCTCGCGTGGTTCCGAGCTCGAGTGGGTGGCGGCAGTACAGATCCGCTGCTCCAATTGTTGCGTTGCGGTTTGCTGTCGTCATGATGCTTTACTTTTTCTTTTCCTTTTGGCCTTCCCGTTTGCTACCACTAGTGCTTGCACTAGTGGTGCTAATAGTTTCGGCCGTCAAGATCTCGATCTTAACTGTGCGTCTTGTTTTAATTATGTTCCCCTCATGCCGCTTTGCCGTTTCTTCTTGAGACCTTCACGTGTCCCCGCTACTTGTCCCATCGGTGGTCCCCGACGCTTTGTCCCGCCGGTGGTCCCCGACACTTCGTCCCGCTGGTGGTCCCCGACACTTTGTCCCGCCGGTTGTTCCCGACATATTTTGTCCCGGACACCATTATTTTTACTTAGTCCCACGCGGTCCCTGGTGTCTTTCCTCAAGGTGTCCCATGTTCTTTTGGCGTCCACCGCCCTACGGTGGCCCCTTTCCCTTGCCTTTCTCGGGCCTTGCGTACGCCGGTTTCTCCGGCCGCGGGGCCTCCAATCCGTGGTTTCCGCTAATTGTCATAGGTGGCCCCCATGTTGGGCCCTTATCTTCTAGTGCCCCGCTGGAGCGGACCACGGGTTGGCCTGTGAGACCAGCCCCTTGGCCTGTTCTCACAGGCCTGTGTTGTATTCGGGGTAGACTTGTCCAGGCCGGTACCTCTGTCGGTACCAGCCAGTCCAGTCCAGTCCCGTCAGTCCGCTGGGGTATACCCCAGCCATTGTTTGTTTTCACCCTCATTCTTCACTTGCACATTTTTGGAGTACGTGCGTTGGAGTCCTGCGTGGGAGCTGCGTTGTGCGTCATCTTGCTCCCCCCTTCTTCCTCCATCTCCATCTCTACCACCAGCGGAGCACCACACCTGGTGGGTCCGCTACATTGGTATCAGAGCGGGAACGGTCCCCGCTCCCTCCCACCACCCCGTACAGCTGGGCAGCAGCCCGCACAGGCGGAAAAGCGGCAAAACCCGACAGCGGTTTTTTTCGGTGTTTTGGGGGTATTTCGCAGCGAAAACGAAGGAGAAAAGTGGCGCATGCTGCAGGTGCCACGTGGCGAAAAAGGGAGGCGCTACCACGAGCGCGTGCGCCAAGGCCAAGGCCGCTGCACGCGCACGCGCGCCACGCACCCACGCTGCCCCGCTGCCCCGCCCCGCCCCGCTCCCGGATATATATTATCAAGATCCGGGATGCAACTGCTGCTGCTGGGGTTTGAACCCAGGTGGCTGCTGGGCCATGTGCGTTCGCCGGCGCAGCGAGCAGCAGATCAGCAACGGCCGGGCTACTATTTGCCC